GAAATAAAGGCAGTGAAAATATAATAATGAAAATAAAGTGAAAAATCGGTCACTTTAACTAAAACTTCGAAAATTCTGTATGAGAGGTACCCGTAAACCGTACCACCGGCTTTAAACTTTCTGAGGTTTCATTTGTTGGAGAAAAAATAAGATTCTGAAAGTTTCATGTTGATCGCATTTGCAGAAGTTTGGTTTTTGGCCCTCAATTTTTTCCAAGAAAATGTCGACAAAAATTGAGGACAAAAGACAAACTTCTGCAAATGCGATCAACACGAAACTTTCACAATCTTTTTTTTTCTCCAAAAAATGAAACCAAAGAAAGTTTGAAGCCAATCAGAATCGATTAACGGGTACCTCCCATACAAAATTGTCCAAAAATCGGTAATTTTAGTCAAAATTTCAAAAATTTTGTATAGGAGGTACCCGTAAATCGATTCCGATTGGTTTCAAACTTTCAGAATCTCATTTTTTTTCCAAAAAAAAAAAATGAAATCCCAGTAAGTGTGAATTTTTTGAGGTTTTTCTTAGAGCAAGTACCCCAGGGTCAAATCGAAAATGGCTCATCTTCGAACTTAAACTAAGTTTTTTGAATACAAAACTTTTGGCATTTCCAGATTTTGATTATCTCAACTATTTTTTGAGTTATTGTGTTAACAAACAGCTACGACGACAACGACGACGACGACGGCACACGAACGCAAAAGTGTCTCAAAAAGTGGTTTTCTACGCGTTTCATGAGTTTTTATGATGATCTAAGCTAATTTTGAGAAAAAAGTTTTCGGGACCAATTCCTATACTTTCCCTTGACACGTTGTGTACGGAAAAGTAAAAAACAACGCGTTATTCATATTCTCTATCTACTAGATAGTATCTAGTAATTATCAGTTCGAAATAAGCATTTGTCTCTGACAGTATTGTTGTTTTTTTCCGAATACTACACCAATACGGAATCGTTTTTTTCTAGTGTAACGGGAAATATTCGCTTCAATAAAAGAAAAATGAAAATTTTCTGGCTGAATTCGGGATTTATATTTTAAAAAATAGGCTCAATTTATGGGTTATTTTATGGGTTCTCGACATAAGTTACCTTATTTTTTCTGTGGAATTGAAGAAGTCCTCCAAATAACTGAACACTCATTTCGCTGTCTTTCTACACAAGAGCGTGAAAAGTTCATCTCGCGGATGTAAGACATTTTCCTTTGATCTACTTCACTGATTTATTTTTTTTAAATTTCAAGCAAACAAAAAAGACGAACGCGGCCAAACAGCTCTACATGTCGCTGCTGAGAATGGTAATTTTGGATATTTATGCTAACTAAATTAATGATTTATGCTAACTAAAGATTGAATCTATTTCATTGATCTGTTTCAGGTAATTTGGACGACGTTGAAAAGCTTATTGCGAAAAAAGCCAAAGTTGATTCGACAGACAAACGAGAGCGCAAACCTCTTCATTTGGCTGCTATGAATGGTAATGTTGCACATTTATTTTCATAAAACAAGGAATTGGTTTGATCGTTCCCATTGATCTGTGTTATTTTTCAGGTCACACGAATGTCGTTGATTTTCTCATCACGAAAGGAGCCAATGTTAATTCTGAAGGTTACATTCATCAGACACCTCTTCATTTGGCTGCTATGAATGGTAATTTTGAATATTTTCATGAATAAGAAATAAGTTTGATCTTATTCATTGACTGGTGCAAATTTTCAGGACACAAGGATGTCGCTGAGAGCCTTATCATCAATGGAGCCAAAGTTGATGTTGAAGACTTTTATAATCGGACACCACTTCATTTGGCTGCTTCACATGGTAATGTTGAATATTTTCACTAAATAAGACGTTGGTTTGATCTTCTTGTGTTCATTGATCGGTGTTATTTTTCAGGTCACAAGAATGTCGTTGAATTCCTTATCACGAAAGGAGCCAATGTTAGTTCTGAAAGTCACATTCATCAGACACCTCTTCATTTGGCTGCTACGAATGGTAATTTTGAATATTTTCACTTAATGAGAGAAAGACTTGATTAACATTGATCGATGTTATTTTTCAGGTCATATGGAGGTTTTCAAATTGCTCATCACGAAAAAAGCTAAAGTTGATCCAATGGACGGTCGTAAGCGGACACCTCTTCATTATGCTGCTAAGATTGCTCAATGAAGCAGCGAACTTGTCGGCACACTCGTGGATTTAGCATTTCACTTGCTTTGGCGATTCGTGAGTTGCCGAAGCATCATATATGCAGTGCACTCGATATTTAACGTGAAAACCTATATTC